CCAATCAAAGAAAACTTAGAACTCCCATGTGCTATGCGAGAATGAGAAACAGTTGACATAACAAATGGGAAACATTACATATCTCCCTGTGAGCATATAATTTCAATATGGCATCATTGTATGACCTTCCGAAGTTTCCATTTTGGAGAAGGTAATAAAAAATGAATTTCTGAAATTTTTGATAAATTTGGCCACTTTTAGTGACTGGGTGAAGTGTCATCCAAGCTACATGTGTACCAAGTATTAAAGAATTTGGACTACTGGTTTTGAAGAACAAGTCAAAAGCACTATTTTTGATGAAAAATGACAAAATATTTGCTAAAATAGAGAATTGAAGATGTCAACACAAAATTAAAAAATCTGATAGAGGTCCACCCAATGTATATACCATGCTGGTTTGAGAGCAATCGGACTACAAGTTTCGGAGAAGAAGTCGAACCCAAGGCACATGCACTATCAACATCAGCACTGTAGACCACTTAGTGTTATAGTAGCATAGAAGAAATTTTAGAGGTTTGGGGGGCTAATTTGCATAATTTTTGGCAGATCGATTTCTCATGAACAAATTACCATCTACACTCATCAAGGCATCCACACACCAAAAATCAAGTCAAACGGTTTGGCCGTTTTTGAGAAGAAGTCGTGCACAGACAGACAGATAGACGGACGACAGACGCAAGACAGAAACCCATAAAATCTTTCGAAGTGGTGATAAGCAAGAGTTGTTAACAATGATGGAGAAAAAAAATTCTTATTTTATAATATTTTTTCAACAATATTTTAAATTTGTTGTTTGATTCACAATGAAAACTGAAATGAGAGAAATTTACAAAAAGTGTAATAATAATTGCACCAAGATATCATATAAAAAGGTGAAGACATCAAGTTCTCATATTGTTGGCAACAAAATGTGAAATAATTTTTTTTTTTTAATTAATTTTGTTCTCAAAATCAAATGTCTGACCAAATAAAAAATGTATAACCAGGTTAAAATCCAGAATTACGAATTATATCGGTAGTTTCACAACATCAAATTAAATTTGATAATGAATGAAATAATTATAGGCTACAGTACAGTCTTATGATAACTTCAAATTTAGCTAGTGTTAACCTTTTCACCACTAGACTGTCTCGTCCAAATTTTTCTGCACTTTTGTCTTATATTCTACAATATTTCTGGAAATGAACTCTAATTTTGGAGCCAACAGACAGAGTATTTGTCAGTTTTTACTAAAATAAATTATATTTTTGTTCAAATCTCCTGAAGTGCAGACTATAAATAAGACTAATTTTGTAAATTTGCGATGAAAAGATTGAACTGGTGATGTAAAGGTTAAGCTGGCTGAAATATACCTTAGCTTGCTTTAACAAAGATGGGTTAAAATTATTTAGGACAATCACACTCGCCTTAAAAAAAGTTTTTATGAAAAAGGCAAAACCAGTTGATAACCAGACTGTACTATAGTTAAAACAAATTATTTTGTTAAATTGTTCAAACTACAATAAATTGAGAATTATAATAACTTATTATATTGGATGGAAGTTTCATCCTCAATATTAGTTACTTTTTGACTTTATTTTAATCAAATTTCGTGAATTTTTATTAATATTCTATTAATACACAATTTGTTTTGGTTTGAATTAATTTTTAGACTGTACATTATGTCTGTCATATTAATCAGACAAGTCTTAAGGCAGTTTGAGCCAAATTCAAATTTTGCAATACTGAGCATGTTACTGCACATATATGCAATGCATTATGGGAGGTAATATCCCAATGTATATAATATTATATATTATTATCACTCTGGAAACTAAAAGTAATTTGTCAATTTTTTGAAATTATTTCACAATGTTAGCTTAATAATGTGTCTTTCTCATCCCATCTCAATGAGTAAAATTTTGAGAAATGAATAAATAATCTCACCATGGTAACCAGTGTAAAAATGACATTTTTGATCATTTTCTAATATGTCTAAAAATCTACCAGCGACTGCCATTTGTGTTCCGTTTCAGTATTCTGATGTATGAACTCAGAATAATGAAACATGACAAATAATAATTTGGCGTGAACTACCTAAAACAATTTTGAAAGCTCAATTTTTATCTTGCACTTTTTTAATGTTTTTATCTTTTTAAATTTTTAGTCTTCACTATTATTGAATTTTAATGCAAAAAAAAATTACAAATATAATTAAATTCATATTTAAGAATTGTCAATCTATTTTATCTTCAAATGTCAGATGTGTACAAGCCAATCTGCTAAAGCATAAGGTTATTTCCAGTTCAAGATCATAATGTAAATTGTTTGTTGCTAAGTATTTAATAAAATCAAGCTGTTCTGTCATTCAGCAACTACTTCTCAGTTGTGTATAGACTCTTCATTCATGTCATTTGTTTTTAAAATGGCCAACTGGTGGCCATTTTGGTTGCCAACGAATGCACATGTTGCTAGTCGTGGTGAAAATTACTGGGATTTTTTTCAATTTGCAACATGTCAGCCATGGAAATTACCTAATAAGGTGCAAAGGTGGGGCCGGATAACTCGCAAACCACGGTTACTAAAAAAGACTGTTAGGAAGCAAACCATGTTCTTTTCATTGGATGCGTGTCACTGGTAAACATTTGAAACAAAAGACGTAGTAATCTGTGATAAAGATAGGCTAATCATTAACATAAAATGTAGACAGGAAAACACGCAAATATGACACCATTTTTTCCCAGAGTTCACTGCAATCAACAACTACACGCCATTTTATTGTTTATCTGTGTCGATGTTTTAAGTTACTAACAGGTAAGTTATTCCAGTAAATCCTGACAAAACCTCTCACTCAGTTCAAACTTAATACAAATGTCTTTGTATAGTATCTTGTATGGCATTCTCGTTTCTAAAGAACAAGATCGGCAGAAAACTGAAATGAAAAAATCCAACAACACATCAGAAAAAAAGATGTAAAAGAAACTATGCAAATGTTCATATTTCAGCCATGCGAAAGTTTTATTGAGGAGCCATGATACCACATACATTTTGTTGGAAATGAACAAAATACATGTATGCGCCCACCCATGCTCTACAAGCAGGCAATTCCAATGAAATTAAGAACGGTTAAAAAGGGTTTGAAAAATTGATTTGTCGAAGACACTGCTAGAAAGTTGTACGAAGAGTTGGATGTGTTAAAAAATTGTTGCATTGACTAACGGCACGCTGAATATTGCAACATGAAAAATTTGCAAAAAAAACTGAAACAAGAACAGACAAGAACAATTAAACAGACATTTTATGAAACTGGCGGAAAATGTTGAATACATTTTCTACGGCGTCTACAAAAAAATTGTAAAGACTTTAAACAAAATGGCTGATACAGTGACACTAAAGCACAACGATAACATTTATCGGTACTCTAATAAGCCCCCGAATTGCATACAACCGTCATAAGTACGCACAGTAGTATACTAAAAATTTATTTGATTTTTTATAATACAATGTATTTTAAAACAAGTCATTGAAAATGACATAGCCCCGGTTAAATTTTTGCAAGTTGTCTTTGTGCTCGTCATATTAAAGCAGAGGGGTTGTCACGAGGTTGAAGTGGCATATACAACAGATTGTTTATTTACATCAAAACACGTGTTCCGTGTAGTAGTAATATGGCCAAAAATAAAAACAGCCGTTATTCGGCCATCTGATCTGAATACGAAACACACTGATATGTATGATGTATGTGCCAAATACGAATGAAAATGGTACATAAATTGTGGAAATATAGTAGTAAGGCCAAAAAGTCAGATGGCTGTCAATCGGCCATCCTTGACCAGATTTTGAAACAAATTGTCATGGACATGCATCCTAACATGTATAAAGTACATGTATGTGCCAAATTTGAATGAAAACTGACAGAGCACGTCCAAGATACCGCATAAAAAAACAAAACAAGATGCCTGCCAGTTGACCATCTTTGATCCAATTACGAAATAAATCGTCATGGACATGTATCCTAACATGTATAATCTATGTACCAAGTTTGAATGACAACTGACAAAGCATGTCCAAAATACAACTTTCATTTTGAATCGAATTGCTAAACCACTGCATGTGCATATGTCCCACATAAAGTACTAGGCACATGCAAAGAATGAACGGAATCTGTCCACAGGATTCTGAAATATGACTGTGGACAGACTGACGCATGGACGAATGGACACACGGATGGACAGACTCAGGAACTCGCAGACGGTCGGGGACATGTATCCTAACATGTATGATCTATGTACTAAATTTGAATGAAAACTGACAAAGCATGTCCAAAATACGACATTTTCAAAAAACAAGATGGCTGCCAGTTGGCCATCTTTGATCCAAAATTGTGAAATAAATCATCATGGACATGTATCATAACATGTATAATCTATGTACCTAGTTTGAATGAAAACTGACAAAGCATGTCCAAAATACAACATTTTCAAAAAACAAGATGGCTGCCAGTCGGCCATTTTGAATCGAATCGCTAAACCACTGCATGTGCATGTGTCCCAGAGAAAGTACGAGGCACATGTTAAGAATGAACGGAATCGGTCCAAGGGATTCTGAGATATGACTCGGGACGGACGCTCGGACACACGAACGGAGACCGAATTATAAGTCCCCGTTTTCGGACTTCGAACAGGGACTAATAATGACTTAGGGGTTAGAATTTTCGTCACTTTTTCTTCTGGGACCCAAGCTTACTTTCATGACAACAGTGAAAAAAGTACTCATTCGAAATGTACGTATAGTTCTTCATAGAGCTTGTGCACTAAACATGGATATTCTATTGAAAACAAGCTGAAAATTCACGGGACATCAAGTGATCGACACAAGAAAGAAACAAAATGGTGGGGCGTACACAGCGCGACATGCATCCTTGAGGGATTAGGCAGATTCACACCTCTTAACAATACCGTTTCCTAACAGTCTTTTTTGTAACTGTGCGAAAACCACAGAGCAGAGGTACAAAAATAAATTTTGGTGTTCAACAACTCCACTTTATTGCATTTACCCCACTCGCTATTGTAGAGGAAAGTCATTACTTAAGACAATAATTAATTTTCTAAAATCAGGAAAAAAAAACGATTTACATTTCAACAATTTGTGTCGTGAGCAAATGCGTTCCTGATTTACAACTTGATAAATTTGCTTTCCACTTCATAGATGCCGACCGATTCCTTGGCTTTCTCATCATAGTCAACCCATTCCTGTAAGAAAACAAACTACTTAATTTTTGCTGCCAAATTTAAACAGCTTTGACTTTTCATAAGTTTTGCCATTGATATTTCAACCTATTTGTAGTAATTACAAATAATAATATGAGGTTATTCTGAGGATACCAAAAAGTATGCACAAAGACAGTACAGCAGTATAATCGATCGACGTGCAGCGAAGGTGGAAACGATGGCGTACTGTCTGAGTGCATACTTTGCGGTATCCTTGTAATAACCTTATTTATACATCATGGGAATGCGGAATCCAAAATGTTTAGAACTGATTTAGTGGAACTTCTTTGTGTGGAGTCCGGTCAAACTCTGGGGGCTGCCATGTTCGTTTTTATTATTAGAGGACGCTCCCATGCATAATCGGTCCATATTTGGAATTTGCATTTTCTAATATGGTACAATGAAAATACCCAGTGCAATACCGCAAAATTACGACATGCTGTAAGTTATGGCGTTATGGTGACAGATGTACAATAATATGAGATGGATTTAGGCAGGTTACTTAGCTCAATTTCAACTATGTACCAATAAGCTTGCTTTTAGGCAACTAATTGTGGGTGTATGATGCGGGTCTCGTATGAACACGCATACAATGGTAGCACATGCGTTAACCATCACCCTCTAAGCTCAGACCGTATAATATCTTGCATTAGTAGCAGAAATGCAAAAATAAATTCTGATTTATTAACATATTCATTAATAATGTCAAATTTCAAGGAATAGTTACATTGAAACCTATCAATACATACATAGCTGTCTGAAAACGATCATTGAATTTGTTGACATAAGATGACTGGTATGGAAGAGTTAATGGCATACATACACATACGTTTTTTGTCTGCAGGGTTTCAACATTTTAATGCTCTTCAAATACTACTTTCATTGTGTGATGCTCAGCCTTTGAAAAGTGTCAACTATTGCCACCTGAGGGCGCTATATACCAAAGAGTATAATACAAGTGCTTATTGAAAATTATTGTTACAGTAGTAGATTATTTTCACTCAATACAAGAGTAAAAATAAAAGTTCATGTTCAAATGTGAATCCTCAAATAGTCTTTTTTTGTTCATGTGGCCTTAACAAATCAGAGTACAGAGGTTTTAAAATTACAAGGAATTTTGAACCTGTGTGTTAGTGACCTACTATCTACTGATTTCAACAAAGCTTGGTTTTTTTGCGCTCAGAGCATAGACATCTTTTCAAAAAAACCATACTTGACCGCGTCAGCACCCAGGGTCCTCAACTCAGAAAATTACGATTTTTTAGGGAAGGGCGCTTACACGAGCACACCCTCAAAAAAGAGTGCAAATGACAATTTTAATTACCTTGTGGCAGATTGAGGGGGATATTACGTCTTTCAGGGAAAATAAAATTACAAAATTAGTTTACAATGAAGAAACAGAAATGGTCACAAAAAATATGCACATTATATTACAACATTTATTTCCTACCACCCGAATTTATGAGATTAAAAATATTAGAGCCTGTTGGAACACAGTCAAAGTCAAAATCTTCATCATTATGTCCACTGACGAATGTGTTGGCTCGTACGCAAACTCTCGATGAAACGCACTTTTCACCATGATGTATTTGCATGATTTGACCTGCAAAAAGATCTTTTGATCTAACGGATCTAAGTGTGTTATAAACCAATCAGAATGCTGTGTTCTTCGGAAATTCCCAAAGACTTTCTGGTAACGCAGTGCTGAAGTGAATTATTGATGTAGAAGTACGGTATGATCTGTTGGAATTTATTTCAGCGAATAAACAATATGTTTTTTTCAAAAAACTAGTAACTAGCAAATTTTTGATAGGTAAACTGAATATGGCATGAAATATCTATCGCATTTTACTTTTATTAAAAGGTCATTGTCGAAGCGTGGTTTATGCACGGTTACCGTGGTCTACGCATTCACAACATATTCGCGGCAGCAATATCCACGCTGTATCATATAAAAACAATTACCAGTATTTGTTAAACAATGATCAAATACCATGTTTTAAATTAGTGGCATTTTTAAAGGGTGGGCGCTTTGATGAATGTGACCCCGAATATAAAAATTGCGCAAAAGTGAGATGGGCGCTTTGCCCGGGCATGGGTGCTAATGCTGTCGAGTACGGTATGTCTCAAGTTTCCAAACAATTCATATGCTGTAACCTGTAGGGACCCGGCTGCAATTATCAGTATTTATATTCAAAATGGCAGAGTTTGAATTGTGCACTATCATGCTATTGTACTTGACCTTGTATGACTGCCACACAATTAACATTGAAACCACTGTTTTTTACAAGAAAGGGAAAGAAAAGTGAAATCCTACATTTTCCTTCAAATCAACTTCGAATACTGTCACGCTATTGGCTCCCTTACAGGAAAATCCAGCCTGGTGAGAACAAATAAATGAATTTCATTAATCACTTTGAACACCCTTTTCATGTAAAATTTTGCTGTTTTACATACTTTCTATATTTGTTTTTGATAAGATTTGATGAACATAATTTTCCACTGGTTACGAATTTCAAAATTTTGGAGAAATTTGAGTGGGTTTGATAAAATTTGAAATGATGACAAAATTGATAAATAAGTTGAATCAGAGTCTCACTGATGTTTACACTTGTTACATCACTTTTTCACCATCAAACATTCTCGTCCAAATTTTTTCTGCACAAATGCATAGAGTGAACATTCTTTACTTTACAACATATGTGTTTTATACAACAAATATTAATTTTGCTTAGTATTACGTGGATTGAAAATATGAAAAACATGAAATTAATAACCATTTAACTAGCTTCAATATGATAATGAGCTGATACTGTGAAAGAAATATATTAATGTATTAAAAAAGAGTTTGGATGTTTGGAGTTCATGAGAAACTATCTTGGCATGAAGTATGATGTTATTTATAACTTCAAAACAACTGTGGTACCTTAAAGTGGGAGAATCGTCACCTGCGCATGCGTCAGAAGGCCATAGCGTGTCATTGTTTACAAACAAGCATCTACCCACGAGCTTTTGCGTTTTTAGTGTGTGTTATCGTCGCTTGGTACTCAATTCCCGCGCGTGCACAGGTGACGTCCCTCTCGCTTTAAAGTACTTTTATTTAAATTCTGCATTTTGCTCAGCTTCCAATCCAACATGGCCGCAAAGTAGGATTTAACATTAGAGTGTAATCGCACAGTCATTATTTCCAGTTTTGAGTACTATCAGGATACAAGTTAATAATTAGACATGGGAGCAAAAACATTCTGCAAGTTTTTTTAACTAATAATACAACATACCATACAAAAAATCCACTAACTGAAAATGAAATGCAAACAAAAAAATAAAAAAAAATATTCAAAAACAAGTGGCTTAAAACAATTAATTATAAAATTACCCTTGGTGAAAATGCAGTAGGTTCCATTCCTCTGCAATCAAAGGAGGTGATGGTCTTGTATTTATTGGCATCTGATTCCTCTGCAGTATAGCTAGCAATGGATTCCTTGATAATATCTTGCAAAAAAAAAAGTTATTCTGATAATACTAGCAGTATGAATACATAAAAGGTACAGTAGCTTCATTGATAATTTTTCAAGTACAAATATTATATCAGAAGGTTCCATTTACGCAAATGACACAAACGTATTATTAATGAATATAATTTACCTATGGAATTTTCTCGGCCACATAACCTGCATTTGACTACCAGACTGGCACTTCCTCTCCCTCCTTTGAGGGGAGCGCTCTCCTGTTAATAAAACATAACAAATTCTAGTTCAGATTGTCATATTAACCATTGACTATGAGCTGTATAAAATGGCCACCAGTTGGCCATTTTTACTCATTTAGTATGATATATATATATATGCTTATGTATGACACATGTTTTGTATTTGTGTAAAGTTTGAAAAAGATCAACCATGCATGTCTGGGAAATGACCCTGGGAATTAGTATGTAGTCACAGTGATGTGAAATAATACAATTATAATGTATTTTGTGGTGATGTGGGAAAAACAAATTGTGCACATCGATGAAATCTTAACGAGTGTGAGAACTCTCATTCCTAGCCAGAACCAATACAATTTTCATTGAAATATCTGTTGAGTTGTTATGCAAATTAGGTCATCAATATGCCAAAAAAATTAGCCAATCACAGAACCCAGAAAAGCAATACTTAAAAACAGCAGAAAGCTAACATACATAGTTCTGACACCAGTGTACATTTAGTATTGAAACAAATATTAATTAATAATGTTCACTGTTACAATGTACATTGTGATAGTGCCAAGGAAAACAAAGCAAATGACATTTAAAACAAGCCATGCATGGCACGTTAGTTATTGAATTTAAGATCTATAGTTTTGTTTATAATAATATAGCTGGAATATAACCATGTCAGGAATATGATTATGCTGATCGTTTAACATTAAAATGATTGACATTTGTATCTGATCGTCAAACGAGTACTTGTCCATATTGAGAAATACTGCTCCGGAACAGCATTAATTGAAACAAAATCAGACATTTTGAATACATGTATATATCTATAACATGATGAATATTAATAATTTGAATATATTCAGTCAAAGCAAGTCAGAGATATGGCTCTAGAAGCCCATTCATTAAAACAAAATGGTCGCCAGTCAGCCTTTTTGAATCCAATCTGAAAAATAAAATGATGTGCATCACCTGTAATGTCTAATGTATGTACTAAGTTTGAACGAAATCCATTCATAAATGCCAGAAATGATTGATATTTGATGATTTTTTAGCACAAAAATTGCCACCATTCAGCCATTTTGAACAAATTGATGTGCATATGTATAATATTATGTATGTTTGAATGTAATTGTTCCAGGCATATCTAAGACACACACACGCACATATGCATGGACTCACAAAGGTCAATATCTGTATATCTATGACATGATGTATAATGAATATTTAAAATTTGATCATAATCAGTCAAAGCAATTTAAAGATATGGAACTATGGAACGGCTATTTTGAATCTTATCTGAAAAACAAAATGATGTGCATCAAGATTCTATAATGTCTAACGTATATACCAAGTTTGAACAAAATCCATCTGTAAACAGTTGAGAAATGCTTGATTTCGATGATTTTTCAGCACAAAAATGGCTGCCATTCAGCCATCTTGAATCAGACCATGAAACAAATTGATGTGCATATGTATAATATTATGTATGTGTGAAGTTTGAATGTAATTGTTCCTGGCATATCTAAGACACACACACACGCACACATGCACGGACTCACAAAGGTCAATGCATATTTCCCCTTTTTCAGACCAAGCCAAATTATTCAAATTATATGTTATTTTTTATTTGAAACATGCTTTATTTCATCTTTGTAGTATACCTAATTAAATATTATAATTTACATATATATTTATTTTATTCAAAAAAAATTAGGACACAAAGAAAAAAATACAGTAAAAGTGCATTGTCAACATAACCAGTTTCGGCAACTTTCTTTCTGGAGTAGAAGATACCAGCAGAGTCAATATTACTATATGTCTAATTAAGGTTTTCATCTCATAAGTTTTTGACTTACCAGTAAGGTCAGGTACTGGAAGTGGTCTGGCTCTTCACCACAGTTCAAGCATTTCAACTGAAAACAATACGGTATATTCAAATGAAACTGTACTATAATAAAACTGTTATAATACCAATGGTAAATAAAGAGATAAGGGCATAAGGGCATACTACTCAGGGTCCATAGCACCAAGAGCCAAATGATTTCCAAGATTTTTCCAGTCCCTTTCTTGCATTTTTCCCAGACATTTTGACCCTTAATTCAGGCAAACATTATTACCAAAGAGGATATGGTAGTTTCCAGGAGAAAACAGACTTTCTAAAATTCATTAATAACTAATCTATGAAAAAAGACTTTTCAAAGATTTTTTTATTTTGCCTGTAATTTAAAGACAACTCAAAGACTTTCCAGACCTCAAAAAATTCCAAAGACTTTCAAAGGATTTTCCCAACGCTATGGACCCTGCTATACTTATCGCATTATTTTGGGAAATACCATGCTGGAAAATATACTGTGGAATACTTTATTTTCGCTGGAATTAATTTTCGCTGAAAAGGCTTTTTGGGCATTTTGTATGGAATTTATTTTCACTGATTTTTGATGAGTTTAATGTGAAATATAGGAAAAAAGTATATTCGCTGGATTTTATTTTCACGGAATTATCCCTTCAGCGAAAATAAATTCCAAGCGAAAATAAAGTATTCTACAGTATACTATGAATGTAGCTCTGTGTACATGTCGTTATAGGGTGGTATACATATTGGAATTTGATGATAGTGCTGGGCAATAGGGGAAATTGACAAAGTTGACTTCCATAGCGCAGGGCATTTAGACAACTTTTTTGTACCAATATACTGGCGATTTTGATATCAGTGATTCCCACTACAGCACCATCTGGTTATGCTCCACCCTTGGGTTATCGACAGACTGAAATGTCCCTTGGGTGTGGAATTTGATATGCAAAAAAAAAAAAAAAAAAATCAAAATTCCCTTTTTTAGTCCCCTCTGTAACTGTTGTTTTTGAAGTGATAATCTGATCAGCAGTCTGATAATCTTGTTTAAACCCAGCTTGGTTGTTATTTATAATACCACAGTTTCTCTATACATTCTCTATATATTCTGTAGAGAGAACTGTGGTAATACTATGGTTTTCTAAAGAAAAATACAGAACCTGCTATTGTCCAATCATGAAAACAAGCACCCACACAATCACAGACCTGTACACAGACCTACTATAAACGTAGAACGACAATGCATACGTACATGTACGTAACGTTAATAGTATACTTTGTTAAAATAATTGTCGGTTCACGGATTACGTGCTGTGTATGCTGCGTACTAAGGTTTGTAATGGACGAACTAGTAACGTCACCGACACCTACCTTCAAATACCAGCGGAAGTCTTCGCCATCTGGCTGCAAATTGGTCACATTCTCCAGATTTGCTTTGATCTGCAGACCAAATTTCTGTAAGAGAACCCGTTTCAAGATGAGCCTGTGGTAAAAGATTATTCACTGTTGTATAAATGTTTAATTTCAATCCCGGAAGTTGATAACCAACAACACTCACCACCATTTTGACGGGAAAGAGGTCTTTCCCGGGGGTGTGACTCCAATATATCCACAGCTCACAGTCTCTCGTCAAGGCTCACGTCCTGTAGCGGTGATGAACCGTATCATCGTACGTTGAAGCTATTTCGCTGATCTCATGTTGTCGATTTCAATTTATCAGTGTATATTTGCATTTAATAGTATGTTTTACCGAGTTTGATTCCCTAGTTTTGTTGCTGACCTGGTCATGTTCTTGGTCGCCGTGGCGCTGTGCGCCCTCAACGACGCACTATGATTCTATCTAATTCTCTAACAAATACTACTGAGGGCAGCATAGAGAAACGTGAATGCAGAAATATGGTCTTATACTGCGCAGCGTAAAATCACCGCTAGTCAATATTGCCTGTTCTTCATTTCAAAAATGAAACACACTAACCGTAATTGTTCTATTAAACATAGTTTCAAATTTAAATCAGAGTTAGAATTTGGCGGTCAATATTAAAACAAATGGTAACTGGCAATGATTTACCAGTGTGAAACAGTGTTATATCACAAACGACAATCCATTCAATTATTGCAGGTTATATTCTGACGTTTACTGTGAAGTGTATGTAAGAATTATGAAATGTCCGCTTTATGTAAGCAAGTCCTCTCCAGTCAAATAAAGCATACTTGCAATTTTGTAATATACACGTATTATTGTGACATGCAAGCATACACAGGCCATAACCCCCCCCCCCCCCATACGAAAATTAAAGCTGTTGCTGAGACGGTGAAGTTTTTTTAGGTAGTGAAGTCGTAAATCAGGTCATGGGTTCTGAGTAGTCAGCGTCAATTAGAGAATGATTTGTAGAAGAGGAAATTATGTTGACCAAGTCTAGTACTTTAAGGTAGAGATGCAGGTTCGTGGGCACTTGGGAGTGAATTTTTTTGGCTTTTTATTATCCAAAAAGTCTTGGCTTGACTGTTGACATTTTGTAGAATGGTGAATAGTGGAACATACTAAAAAAACGATTTTAAAATATAGATAACTGGTGCAAAATTATTTCTTTTGAATGCTTAGCAAGATTTACCAAGGCTGTACATAAATAATAAAAAAAAAAACATGGTGAAAAAAAGAAATGACGGGATCTTCATATTATGCACTGTATTTAACTTTTTACAAAACGATAATACATTTAAGGTGAGATGTAGGTGAGATTTCGACGAAATAACGGTAGCGAGCAACATTTACATATGTTGTACAAAAAATTCCATTTATTTGTTTTGACGTAGGAAGGTACGAACTATTTTCACAGGAAGCACAGACATAACTGACGACATATAACATAATATGAATAAGTTATAAGTTGTTTTATTATGTATTTATATTACAACATGACACACAGAAATCAAAAGTTACCTTATCAAGACGCCCTACGGGAGACGGTAACGCCTTATTTGTAAGGAAAAGTGATTCGCGGCTCGGGTTTGATGTAAGATACAATGAGCTGGTAATGTGAATCCTTTTAAAACCAGCTAATAATAAATTGACGCTTTTAACACCAAGCATTTATGGTTAAAATAAGGTTCTTAAAAAAGCATTTAACTACAGCTGTGTGGACACCTGTTTCAAATGCACCAGCTTAGAAGGAATCCTTCGTACAATCTAATACAATACACAAAGAACTTTTGTTAATTATTTAAAACGGATAATCTAGTCAGTAAATGTAAATCCATCACTCGAAATGCAAAATCGAGTAATTAAACAACGTCAATCACTTTGTACAACACGCTTAATATTTTTATTATTATCTTGTTTTTTTATTGCCATAACTCATCGAACTGCATGGTTTACCTTAATTGTGTGTGCTTTATGGCAGATTTTACGCGTGGGTTTTTGTCATGTGGGCATATTTTAATGAATATATTAGCGACAATATAATAATCAGTTTATAATCAAACATTTTTAACTAGTCAACTGTATGGGGACTTTTTTCATTCGCTCAATCGATATTCGACTACTCTTGAATACACTTATTCTTTGCGTTATCTGAATCTTCGTCAGGGTTGAAAACAATGAATGTTGTCATCATTTCGCCAAGTTGCAAAGAACATTACACATGCATGCATAATAACGCTGTTGTTTTAGTATACAGTCGCATAAACCACGACATCCACATTCAAATAATTCAAGTTGTCTGAAAAATTGACTGAACTGAATGGTTACTTTTCATATAGCACAATACACTAAATTATATTGTGCGGTATGTCGAAGAAACACCGAACACGGATCTCCAAACGTGTTCTTAGTACGGGTATCGAGGTCAACACGTCCACATGTCTCATCCCTGATGCATTAATTATTTCCAGCTATTGTCATGAATTTGTTTTTGCGTATCTGTTAACCGACTTAATTAACTGATTATTAGCGAATTGCTGTGTTATGTCTGTCATCGTGTAGGCCTATTTGTGAAATTTTGGACGGAACTTGGCTCAGTGATTTGGAACTAATTACCAGATAGCTGCCGCTTTTTAGACTACTCATTCTGACAGTTGGTATCCGTAGTTATTAATGTAGTGAACGATTAATCAAAAGATATGACGTATTCAGTACTTAGTGTGATTGGCTTTATGATTGAAGGTTACGCCTTAGAGTCTTTTTACTGCTTTGTAATTGGTTAGAGTTTTGAAAATGAATAAAGAGAGTTTGAGTTGGTCTTGGCGAATACTCCACGACAGACGCAGTCCGAGAGAGTCCAGGGGTGAGCCTTGAGGCAGTCCAGTCTTGGGCTAGCCTTGGGTCAGCCTTGTGAGAGTCTTGGGGACTTTTCCCCAGGGCGCTGTGTCTTATAGAGTGCTCGATTGACCGACTAAGACGAGAGCTGAAACGTATTTCGTTGTGTGTGTCTTATTTGACTGTAAAGTTAAAGTGACTTTCCCGATCCCGTACCTCAAGGGGAGGAGATAGAGAGACGAGACGAGATTCCCCACTGACACGTGTGGAGAACTCAGAGAGAGAGTTTTTCCCCCTGATACTATCTATAACATCCATACTCCCAATTTCCATCATGAGGTGGCGTCTACTAGTGTTTACTATCGTCGATAAATCCGTCATCTCAATCTATAACTAAATTACCGCGTTACCATATTCCAAGACTTTATAAAACTGTAGCTGGGAAGCCGAATTATTGCGGATTTAGTATGGAGCAGAAGACTCAACTGGAGTTTAATGTGCAACTAAGCATTTACATTTCACATCGTTTTTCATATAATTAAATGTTAGAGTGTGTGCCATATACATTTCAGTTACTGTAAGGTTTGACACTGTAAGCAGTCTGATTATTATTATTAGTATTAGTTTGGTGTAGGTAAATCTCTGAGTCATTCCAGATAACCGAATCTGATATTAAAACGTTATGTGTCAAGCGTTATTGGCTGAATATATTGATAGTCATTTATATTATTAAGTCCCCCATATCATTTCTGCTTGTATACTAGCTTGTTAATTTTAAATGACAGCCATATTATTGTGAAAATACAGAACAACATAGACTTACAAAATACAAGTCAAGGAAGAATCAGTAAGTCACTTGTGAGCCACTTGTGACTATATGTGCACATCATTCTCTACATATGAGGCCATGGTCAAGTGATAAAAAATAATCGCATTTAATCTATGTATTTAAATTTTTTCAAACACATAAATTAAAGGGCGGTAGTCGTCGTGAGCGAGATATACGAGTCTCATATAAACAAAGATGGCGACTTTGACTGTTATCAAGATTTAATTAGGTATTTATTTAGGTGATTGGAAGGTATCGAAAGAGTCACCGGCGGTAATTAGTGCAAGTTGGGCCAAGGTCAAACCTTATACTGATTCCATCAGAATGTTTATCAACACAAATGTCGCACATGCGCAGCGCGACGACCACCGTCCTTTAATTTTTTTTCAAACTTCTTTCACTATGACGTACATCTACTATGGCACGGTAAGACTCATTAAAAGCATATAAACACGCAAGTATAAGAAAACCACAATGTTTATCAATGTAGAAGGATATAAGATTTTATTGTCACATTGTAACTATAGTGTACATACATAGTGTGTTAAGACTAAGAAACTTGTACATTCGACTGATCTGTACGAGCATGCCGTTCTCCACCTTGACTTTACCCGTTATATACAAACCAGCGACTGTATGTCTGTACACGATGTGTACTTAGTAAATGTCCGTACAGAAATAAAGCTACACATTCAGCATTGTATGTAGAGCAATCAATAGCTTCGATATTACCGTAATAAATTGTTACAACTGATAAGTAAGTCTCTAAATATCGATGTTACCGTAATAAATTGTTACAACTGATAAGTAGGTCTCTAAATATCGATGTTACCGTAATAAATTGTTACAACTGATAAGTAGGTCTCTAAATATCGATGTTACCGTAATACATTGTTACAACTGATAAGTAGGTCTCTAAATATCGATGTTACCGTAATAAATTGTTACAACTGATAAGTAGGTCTCTAAATATCGATGTTACCGTAATACATTGTTACAACTGATAAGTAGGTCTCTAAATATCGATGTTACCGTAATAACATTGTTACAACTGATAAGTAGGTCTCTAAATATCGATGTTACCGTAATAAATTGTTACAACTGATAAGTAGGTCTCTAAATATCGATGTTACCGTAATAACATTGTTACAACTGATAAGTAGGTCTCTAAATATCGATGTTACCGTAATAAATTGTTACAACTGATAAGTAAGTCTCTAAATATCGATGTTACCGTAATAAATTGTTACAACTGATAAGTAGGTCTCTAAATATCGATGTTACCGTAATAAATTGTTACAACTGATAAGTAGGTCTCTAAATATCGATGTTACCGTAATAAATTGTTACAACTGATAAGTAGGTCTCTAAATATCGATGTTACCGTAATAAATTGTTACAACTGATAAGTAGGTCTCTAAATATCGATGTTACCGTAATAAATTGTTACAACTGATAAGTAAGTCTCTAAATATTATGGTTAAATATAGTTACATTGTTCTTCATATGTGGGGCATAATTTGTGATTCACATCGCCTGATTACAATTTATTGATCGCTCGTCACAATCAGTTGGTTATATTACGTATTCATGTAAATACAAATAAAGCTAAATGTATATAATCTTCAATGTCAATAAAGAGCTATACAAATAATCATGCCATGTTATTCTAATAAACCATATCAATTTGTCTAATATCTAAAAGTAAATAATCTATGGATACATGCATATACACAAACATTTAATCTGATATATTTATACGGAGTTGTTCAGAAGCATAAGATAAAGTTGAATTCACATTTTGAAAATATGACCATACACACTAACAAATGTCGAGATTGTGGATGGATCAGCTTGCGTTATGAATTATGACGAAATTGTCAATATGTGGTTTTAATCCATATATCTGTATATATCTGCACCCTAACGAAATTAAATCAGTAGTATACCATTTACGTTGTTCAGAATAACAATATTTTAGAATAAAACTGTTTCATCGAAATTTTTGTTTCTGTTTTTAGAAGTCGATAGGCGTGTGTGAAAAGACGCGTCGTTGCACTCCTTGTTTTAGGAGTCGCAACTCATTGTAAACTTAATAACCACATGATTGTTGATCCCCATGCAACCCCAAACCGTTACCAGACAATTCATTTAATTTAACTAATTTAACTTTATTATAATATATTCGCCAAATATTCAAACATGATAATTAATTCAATATCCCATTTTCAATTTTAAGTCGTCACGGCGTAACCGACTGCTGTTATTTCTTCTTTTTCTCTGAGTCACTGTCACTGCATGGTTGGGGTTCGTCTTCAGGTGGTAGAATTTCACCAGGATCTGGAATCCTAACATCATCAAAAGCAACATCTGAACAGTCACTTTCTCCACGTACTGCCTCAAAAGCAAGCTGGAAAAAGAACGTTAACAATTTAAATCAACTCAACTGATCAGAGTATTATATATATCCGAGAGATGAATAAAATTGTAAATTATAAACCATTCACATGCGCTTTGAAGAATGTTAATTGAAACTGTATGACCTGCCTTGAATGGTTCACTGGCGACGACATTAGCAACACCGCGAAACCACTCTTTCCCGAAGTCACCTTGTTTACTCCAAATAGGAGCGCCCATCTCCCCGTCTCCCGTGACAACAAATATATTCAATGTTCCTCCACAGTCCATGTGATAGAAGAATTCGAATGGCCCATTGTAAGGTTGATTTACAGGTGAAAACACTCGAGCATGTTGACCTGGTTCACGATCAGTAGGTTCGGCATACATGAAGTGTCCCTCCTCTGAAAACAAAGAAGTAGAACTGGTTCAACGCATTGTAAAATTACAAATTAAATACACCCTAAGCGTTCATAGCATGAAAACAAATTTTCCCAACTCCTATCAAATGTACGGTAACTTACACATCCACCCCTTTTCAAAGCACTGGTAACAAAGAACTAGTAGTTAACTACATCATCAACTACATAATATTCAAATATGGTTGTACTTACGTGTCCCTGTGGTATGGTCTTCATCAGGTCCAGTATCTGGTGTTGGCGTTGGACCATCCTGCCAATACCAATTGAAGTCCGCACTGGGATCGTTTCTGTAACCGCACCGGTAAGGATCTTCAAAGTTGCAATTTATAGTATCTTAAATTAAAAACAACACACTTTTATAAGTTTGAATTCACTCATAACGTAACATGTCACGTATATAATGACACTACACATGTATATTTCAGGTATCGAGGCAGTAGTGGAATCGTGATATAGTAAGATGCATTTCCTACCAGCTACAGGACTTTCTGAAATACTAACATCGTCGATGGCAACTTCGCTCTTGGGAGTTGGACCACGGATGCCTTCAAATACCACCTGGTAACAAAACATAAGTAGATATTGTAAACAATACTCGCATATATGAAATTCATAATATAAATTTGATACACATATTGAAATTTCAAAGCACCTGGAAGGGGAGTCTGCTGCTCAATTGCATCTGCGCTTTCAACCAATCAGGGGACTCTGATCCTTGTTGCGTCCATATGGGTTCAATACCCTCAGGGTCAGCATCTTGAGGTACAATGTATACTTTAATCTCACCGCCTAAAGGCCTCTCGACACCAGAACCAAAGTTGTGATAGAAGAAGGTCAATGTAGTTGAATCTGTGGGTGGACTAATAGGGGAGTATAACCTGGCAAGACTCTCTGGATGCTGATTTTTCACGGCCATGTACATATAGAAACCTGAAAAAATCAATTTATTTATTTATTAATTAATTAATTTATTTATATATAATATATATTATATTGATATTTACGATTCTGAAATACCAACGTAAACGAAAGAACAAATGAATGGATAAATGATCGAACGATGATTACACTATTTATTAACCTGTTCCTGTGGTGTGGTCTTTTTCCGGACCTGTTCGCTGTGCTGGTGTCGGTCCTGTAAACCGCACGAACGTGCTATCTATCTTCCGAGGTTTATATCCACATATTTCCTGATTTTCAAAATCGCACTCGATGTTTCCTTGAAAAACATAATTAGCATGTCAATGAAAAACATCATACTAAAACCATTTCTAACATTATGACGTGTTTCCGATCTGCGTGTTGATGCTACTGCTAGAATTTTCTATTAAAGTTGTATTCATACTATGTGGGGTGCTGACCAATATATACACCATCACACGTTGAGATTACGGATTGGTAATAAAAACATTAGTTTTAGAATATGAATTCAGGCGAGCCTCTTAAATTAAGCTTGATTGGTGAACAATATACCCTGGGGCTTTGCTTATCCCTGAAGTCAATAAGTATATTTGTCTAAGGGATAAAATCATTCAGTACTACTCAAATAAAATGAGCAGAATAAGATGAGGCTAGGATATTTACTTTTAATGTATAATTTATTCTCCAGCTCCATGTTGAAACATTTTTTTGTTAAATTTACCTTGTTTTGGAAGTGTTGTTCCACATATTTATGAATTTCAATGAAAATTAAATACAACGCCAATGTTTAATCAACTCATTTTGTATGTTGATCTACTGTAGAAACATGCTTGAAATTGAACTTACACGTGTAAGGCTACAACAATTGACAATAGTGGTGCTAATGAGGTGCAATTATTAGGTTTCATTACCTGGTATTACTCTTTCATAGTATTGCTTATCAGGATTTGAATGCAAAAAGTGCCCGGATGTAAATGGTGTGTGCTTCTGTAGAGCACATACACCACCCATGACGATTTCGAAAGATCTGCATAAATAATTCTTTCTTCCTAGGCATATCTCAGCACATTTCTCTGCATTCACTCCTTTGTGTATTTCATAGTCGAAGTTTGGAAGTTCTGTTCCTTCAGTTAACATAAACTGGTCTAGCGGTGGTGTGTCTGGAATATTATTTTTCAAAATAAACTATAAACTTGCACATTATATATTTTTAATATTAGGAATGAACGCATCAATGGCATTCAGCAACCTGATAAGTTTGATACGTATACAATTAAATAGGTCAGTAGGGTTGTTAATAGCATTTGGAGACACTGAATCAGATCATGCAACATTTTGTCGGCATTCGTAACGTGTAATGTACTTGAGCGAACACGCAAACTGAATGCAAAGTAGAATCGAGAACATACACAACAAGATAAACTCACCCCCGGCAGGAACTGGGTCAACCACTTCTTCATCTTAAACGTTGGAAGAAATAAAATATCATTCAGTTTAATTAATTTAGAAATTAATTGAGTGCCAGATCGATATTGTATTACGATGTGAATATTTAACTTCGAAGAGTTTGTACATCATAGAGAAATTTTTACCAAGAAAAAATGAAAACAATATCTAAGACACAGATGATACATTGTATTGTATTAAGTGTTCTATAATATAAATCTTACCATCTTCACACGTTTCCCCTGTGTGTCCATATGCACACATGCACTCGAAAGTAGTTCTATGATTGATACATGTACCGTCGTGTGAACACGGATTACTCTCACACAGGTCAATAGCTGGGGAGAGAAACATAACCTCCGTTAGTATGACCAAACTGGTACAATGTGTGCATATGAAAAAGAAAATAATTTCCAAAACATTTTTGCAATGTGAGTACCTCTTTTGCGACCCCAATTGTTTTCAAATACAGGACTAATTGCGTTATGTAGTAATACATTATAAGTTGAGTTTAGATTGACTTACGACTTTCACATTCACAACCAGTTAATCCTGGTGGACAATCACAGGCATAATGATCGCCGAAGTCGTTACAGGTTCCGCCATGATGACACGGATTGGATAAACAAGCAGACGCAGCTGTAAAAACACATAAACATATTAGATGTTTACTCACGTGAAGATATTTATTTCAGCAATTACACAGTTAAATTGCAGACCGAAACGTAATATTTAAAGCGGAGGGGTCGTCACCTGCGCACGCGCGGAAATTGAATCCCAAGCGACTATAACAACGCACGCTAAAACGCAAAGGCTCATGGGTAGACGATACGCTATGGTCGTTTGCCACATGCACAGGTGACAATTCCCCCGCTTTAAGCCTTGAGTTATCGAACCACAGTCGAATTCCCCAAAATTCCACTTATAGCAAACTCGGCTTTGATGCATATGTAGGTTTAACTCCAATGATTTTGATGTGGCAAAACAACCACAATCTTTTCTTGACTGTCGCTACCGGTTACTTACGATCGTCGCATTGTTTCCCTCCATATCCGTCAGGACATTCACAGTAATAATCATTCAATCGATCACTACAATCTGCTCCATTATGACAAGGTCCTGAATCACATTCATTTATTTCTGTGGGGAAGAAAAATAGATCAATGTAAGTTTGATGCAAAACGATTACATCTTTGTCTATCAATATTTGTAAATTTAGAATAATATTTCTGTAGAGAAAAAGTATTGACACCTTTGACCATATTGTGACACTACCTACCATATGATAACTGCAATTTGAATATTTAAATAGTTTGCGTGTTACACAGTCCGGAAACATCACAGACAATGAGTCAGATGTGGCATGGTATATTTTATGCTACACATTGCAGCGTGCTAAACTGCCCGTAATAGATCAGTCATGACCTTTTTGTCTGTTCTCGGGTGATGAATGACTAATAGGAATGTGGAAACCCATTGTTATTCCCTTACCTTCTTCACATGTGGGTCCCTGCCATCCGTCAGCGCATGCACACACGACTATCCCACTTGTGCCATCGCACGTGCCTTCATTTTTGCAAGGATAGCTTTCACAAGGACCAACGTCTGAAAAACGTGAGAAATGCAATGCAATGCAATGATATATTCATATTTTTTTCAGCGATTCAATAAATACAATTAAGCAACACATTTCAGCTATAACAGGATTAGCGTCTGGTCTTTGTAGTGTGTCACTGTGTTTAGAATAACATATACCGGTATTATATCTTACCTGCAGGTAAGTCTGTGACTAAAACACCACCTATAGTTTCAACTGAATAACAAAAAGAAAAACTAATGTTATTATTACAATTATTATTAACAATATTGAAAATACGATACTACTTGCAGCCCAATAGTTTTGTCATTAACACACAATATCGGAGTCACTCTTGTCTTTTCAGAATATGAAGTAATTAATTTAATGATTAATGATTGATACTTACCAGCCACATTCATTGGTGGCGGCGGTGGTGGAGGTGGCGCTAGTGTAGGTATTTCTGTCATAAAATGATAAAACGGAAGATACAAAATTGAGCATGTAAATATAATTTGATATATAAGACCAGATTAATGAAGACAAATAATTAATTGCTGAATATTGTAATTTGTATTATAAAGTTAATAATAAACGAAACATCGTTACTCGTTAAAACACCATCAAGTACCATGTGAGTAAATACATAGTGAAATTATGTAGTCCATGAATATTAGTATTATGCATAACTTAACAGCAGATACTAGTATATCATTTTATTTTTCTCTTTTATATTGAGAAATATAATTTTGAGTGAAATACTGTACTAAAAATAATATATTCGTGTATCAATATGTGACTACGAAATGTCTAAGAACTTAAAATAAAAAAAAAAACAACCTTCTTCACAATTCACACCGCGGTAACCTTCAGTGCATGTACACGAATAACCACTGACAGCGTCTGCGCATGTGCCACCATTTTGACACGGATTAGAACTGCACTCGTCAATTTCTAGAAAACAACAATTAATAAGATCAAATTAAATGAGTATTAAAGCAAATTTAAGTAAATGACTTTTACATTTATGTATAATTTTTGTTAGGCAGTTATTGTGACGTGGCGAGGTGAGAGTTTGCTTACTGTGGCGTATGCTGTAGTAGTTAGTACAAAGGTTTTCAAAGCAAATTCACAGTTAAATTTCTGGAATAGTATTGTTACGTTGCTACTACTAATTCATTTTGTAACAACGTATATTATATTTACTGCAATTCCAGATAAATCTTGGAAAAATCCATTGTTATTGTCTTAAAATACCAACAAAGTTTGATTTGCAAATCTCAATATTAGATTGTTCCCTTACTCACATCCATGTAAAATATATGCATACATAGAGCTTCCATTTTTATCACACATAACGGAATTCAATTTTGACGATCATTATGAGTTTCTTTCCCGTTTTGTATCGCATTTTCTGGAACACAACTGCATATATAGCAAAAAAAACAACAAAAAACTACCGTCTGCAAAACTCTGGCACCCAGAATAAATGCTAAACAATGAACAGAATAGGTGTTTTTCCAGTTTGTTTGTGCGAGTTGTTAATTTAAAAAAACAAACAAACAAACAAACCAATACTTTGAGGGAATGTCGCTTTATTTAACCTTCTGTTTGACAGCGTTATTAATGTTGGTGATGTACATGTGGTGTTTGCATGAAACATCGTGGAACATTATATCTCACCATGTGAATACATCAGTATTGTACGTATATTGCGAAATAATAATCTGTAGAGACATTATTCGTCATCTGTGGTGAGTGAAAATGACAAATAAGAAAAAAGTCTAGAACTAGAACTAAAATGTCAAACCTTCTTCGCAATTTACACCAGTATAACCTTCAGTGCATGTACATGAATAACTACCGACTGCGTCTGCGCATGTGCCACCATGTTGACATGGACCGGAACTGCACTCATTGATTTCTAGAAAACATCGATTTATAGTCAAATTGAATGAGTATTAAAACATTGTTAATGATACAAAACGTGTATGTGTTATGTTTACAACTATATGACATGACATGACATGACATGACATGACATGACATGACATGACATGACATGACATATTAAGTATGTGTGTATGTCTGTACCAACTGACTTTAGTGTACATCTAGCACTGTAGAACAATATATGTCACCATGCGATCATATCACATATGTAACCAGGACAATCTGGTGATGGGTAAACGCGCGCTTTACAACTTCACACGGAACATCGGGTGGCTGAAAATGGGAGCATCGTAAATGGTTAAACAATATATTCAAAGACAGGCTCATAATGATGAAACACTAACATTCATAAAATACCCCAGGAAACAAAACAAGACAAAATGCTAGTACAAGGTTTATGGGAAATGGAACTCACCACTACTGCAAGTTTTACCAATAAATCCATTTGGACATTGGCACAGGAAATCATCGACCATATCCACACACTGTGCTCCATTTTCACACTGGGCGTCCTGACAATCGTCAGTATCTGTAAATTTAGTAATTTTACAAACCATATGACAATATAGACCGGAAATAATATCATAATTCTAATCAGAAATCTAAAATAAATGAAGTTCCCAATACATTTCCAGACTCGCACGAACATTGAGCGAAACTGTGTTTACAATTAAAACTATTCTCGACACTTGTTATCATACTTACCAATGCTGCAGTCATCTCCTTCATACCCCGGTATACAGTCACAATGGTACGTTCCTAATCCATCTACACAAGTACCGCCATTTTTGCAGGCATCAACAGAGCAATCATCTGGGTCTGAGAAAAATAATTGAATAATATCACTAAGGTGGTCTTTAAATTCATGAATAAAACAAGACAGTGTGAATGCTCAACAACCGATCCGATACAACTGAATTCATGCACACAATTGTAGGGATTGCAGTTTAATCTTAAAGTATTGTAATGACTTACTTTCTTCACATGTTTTTCCCTCATAACCAATAACACAGCTGCAAGTAAAATCGTTGAGCCCATCAACGCACGCGGCACCATTTTGACATGGCGCATCGAGACAGTCGTCGATGTCTGATTTAAATAAATAACACATATTTAGTGTATATCCCCACTCCAACATGATAATCAACATTCTAATTCATCTCGAATATAATTATAAATAATAATTATTATCGAAATAATATCCAATGACTACATCACAATGACTATAAGTGATTATGTCGTTGATAATTTTCTTCACTTCAAATGCCGTGTCGTTGCACATTATTCGCCACGGTCTTCATATGAACTGTTTGTTTCTACTTATGAAGCTGAATATGCATAATTTTCAAAATTTTATAAAACGAACAACAATTTGAACTTATACATACTAGTTCCGCAATGATCTCCGTCGAAACCAACCGGACACATACAAATAAATCCGTCCGGCATATCTTGACAAGTCCCTCCATTCAAACACGGTTCGGGGTCACAATTGTTGAGTTCTGAAATAAAGAAAATATGCAAGATTTGTAAACAGTTTAGTGCGCACAAACAAACAAACAAACAAACAAACAAACAAACAAACAAACAAGCAAACGTATACCCATTATTTATTATTAATATCAATTAAGCATATTCAATTACTCTGTAGAACATTAAACTTCAGATATGCATGATTCTATTCTCTTACTTGTCTGGCATAATTCGCCCTCGTATCCAAGAACGCAGGAACAGCTGAAAGAATTGGCGCCATCGAAACATGTACCACCGTTTATACAAGGGTCACTTAGACACTCATCAATGTCTGAAATTGAAACAGGAATCATTACAAACATTTACAGACCCTGTTACTTATTGCATGTGCTCATGCTTCTGATTTTGGTGCATCATAATCAACGTAATACAAGAAACATGTAACATACTTTCGTCACATCTAGCTCCAGTAAATCCAGGGGCACACCGGCACAAGTAACCATTTATTTGATCTGAGCATGTGCTGCCATTGGTACATGGACTACTCACACATTCATCAATGTCTGTAAGATATAGATGAAATAAATATACACATCTACTATAACATTCTCTGTCAAGTTTCGACGGTGAAATAATGATGAAACATCACGATAGTCATCAAATACCTGACGTTAAAATACACCTGTTACCGTAACGCCATAAGTTACAGCGTGACGTAATTTTGCGGTATGTTACGGGGTATTTTCATCCTACGATATTAAGAAACGCGAATTTCAAATATGGAATGATTACGCGCGTAAGCGTCCTCTATATATATACACACAGCCAACAATTTATAATGATGCATCAAACAAATAAATATTCCAGGAGCAATGGCTTGAACCGAAGGTTAGTGGAAAATGCAGTTATCACACCGCAAAGTGTGGACGTGGATCAGCTGTACGAATATTTTCAGGAGATTTTCCCCATTATATTATAATATGAGGTTATTACGAGAATACCGAAAAGTGTCCTCGTAATAACCTTATTGTTATACATCTTTTCCTCCCAAGGATACATCATGAGAATGCCGAATTACAAAAACGTTTAGAACAGATTGAGCGATCTTCTTTGTATGGGGTCTGGTCAAACCCTGGGGGCTGCCATGTTTGTTTTTATTATTAGGGGACGCTTACACGCGTACCCCGTACAATACCGCAAAATTACGGCACGCTGTAACTTACGGCGTTACGGTGACAGATGTATAATAATAAACCATATCCACGTCTAACCAACTCACCGGTATTACACAGTGTTCCGCTGAAGCCTGGTGCACACTCGCATTCAAACCCACCAAACCTATTTAAACAAATAGCTCCATTGGCACATGGTGAAGTACTACACTCGTCCGTATCTGAAATTTACAATGTTGATAAATAACAATGAATTATGAAAATAAGTAAGAGTAATCCACTGCGATAACATATAATATATTTATACAATATTATATTTTTTTACATCAACTTACCTCCTCCGCAGAGTGACCCCTGGTAACCATCCGGACAATTACATGAAAACATGTTCACACCATCAGTACAAACTCCACCGTTTTGGCATGGATTTGGTTCACAGTCATTAATATCTGATGAGTAACAAAGTATCAACATACTAGATTAGATGATCGATTGAACGCATCTAACAACATTTATGAAAGACATTCGTCTCCTTATTTTACACGTAGTATACACCAGACATCTATTATGTCTGTATTCTTGTGCATGTCGTACAGTTTTTTTTATTAATCACGCCCTCTAGTGTTGAAGTGCGACAGTGACGTAGGCGAATGAAGTGAAGCGACAATTGTTCTCACATACCTTGCTCTTCATTAGAAAACACCAAATGTAATATGAACGACTTTCCTTTCACCGACATACGTTGCTTAGCCTCAAGAGGGCGCAACTCATTGCGATGCTTTAGAGTTCCGAATGAATATGCTGGGCAACTACTTTAAACACATGATGATTACAAATGTGTAATAAACCGAAATTAACTAAACATAATTACTCACCGACTTCACAATGTTCTCCTGCATAACCATCTTCACAACTACATCTGTAACTATTAATATCATCAATACAAGTTCCATGTTGGCAAACATTCAATTCACAATCGTCAATATCTGTCGGTAGAACAGATCATGCACATTGTAAATATCCATTTTAGATTGAATGATAAGTGCAACAATTCATATTATTTTTGGAGCGAACACCCGGGCATGTTCACCGCCTGACAAAACCATCGCCGATGAAAACAACGGTGGAAACCCCTAAAAAAACTTGTACATTTTGCAGTGCAGCATATATCAATTTAGTTAATCACGATTGCCACAAAGTTGAGTTTAGCTGTTTTCACCGGCTGTTCGATCGCCGTTCCACAGTAGCTCACACAGATTCCATGGAAACATGATTTACGCAACATTGAACATTTTGTGAAATAACTCCGCCTAGAGAATATGAAAGGAAATAGTGGGTTCGAAAAGAAAACATACGTACTTTCTTCACAGTTAATTCCAGTGTAACCGACGTCACAAGAGCAGCTGTGGCTGTTAACTCCATGACGCATGATCCATGAACGCAATTGTGGACTTCACAATTATTTATATCTAAAAAAACATGTACAAAATAAATTCTAAGTCAATATGCGACATATCGACGAGTGCTCAAATCTTTGCCACAGGTAAAATAAATGTATTTTTTTTCTGCCAACTTTGTGAACTTATTCAAAGCATCACAATAGTGAAAATAAACGCTTTTATAGGATTGCAGATATGTTCAGTTATACAAATGGAATTATAATGTCAATATGATTTAAGTTGAAAATTGTAAAATAACCTTCTACTATAGTACTATATGTATGTATCGATCTTCAATATTAATATCATATTTACCCGTCTCGCACAGTATTCCAGTGAATCCCTGAGAACAAGAACATATAAATCCGTTCACCTGATCCTGACATTCACCATTTTCACATATCTGGTTTTCACAGTCGTCAATATCTAAAAAAATAATCAAAAAAATTAGATTCAATAAAATAAAAATGAGAACACGATCTACATAGACGAATGCGTGCAGATTGCATCTATACATACAAACATACCTTCATCGCAGTTTTTCCCGCTGTAACCTTCTTGGCAGACGCACGTATAATCATTAACGCTATCTCGGCATTCGCCATTCACACATGGACTGTTTACACAATCATCGATATCTGACGACATAAGAATTCACTACATTAGAAACACGTTTTCCGTCAGTCGGTTCATATTGTACATTCGAGGTTGATATGAGTAAATATGACAATATTTATATACATATCATACACATGTTCATTACACGAAGCGTAAACTAATTTTACCAATAGACATTTATTTTAACGTTGACATCAATATAAGGTGAATATATAGTCAAAACATAAAAACTTTAAAATGACTTGATGAACTCCCTCCTAATTTAGACCATGGATACAATTGTGATAGGATCAATATTGTATTCAGGATGTATTAACACTTATGAAAAACACTTCTATGAATGCTGTACTTACTTTCTTCACAGGTCAACCCAGTAAATCCTTCAACACACTGACACGTGTAAGACGCTATGCCGTCCACGCATGCGCCACCATTAAGACAATTGTTAGGATTGCAGTCATCTATGTCTAGGATTAATAATAACAACACAATAATTTTTCTCTAATAACTAATATTAATGTCCCAAGACATGTTCATAATCACTATTCAACATTACTAAACAATCTCTAAACATGTCATTGATCTATAAATAATTATTTTAAGAGGATTTTAAAACGAATATTGACTCACTTGTTCTGCAATAATTTCCAGTAAATCCTTCTGCACATTGACAAGAGTATGTGTTTATACCATCGACACAAGTACCGCCATTATGGCAATACTCTGGTTTACAATCATCAATATCTGAAATACAAAATGAAGATGTCCTGTTTGTATTGATACGTGTTTTTCAGTTAACTGAAGTTGTGTTTATTATATTCGGTATTTAACCGATACCGAACAAACTGAAAATATGAAAACCAATTCTATATATAGCTCCAAGCAGCGATTACCAGCCTTCGATGTTATGCCTGAGTTAGCTCTGCATTGCATTTATGCAACATAGTTATGACATTACACTTCTGTAATATCTAGGGTAGTGGAGACATGTACTGTGATTCGTTTACTATATATCGTAGGCAAATCGATCACAATGTGTGTTGATGTAGTCACAGCATGGTGAACTGATTACACTATATGAATTATATGACCATATATGATCATTGAACATGTTAGCAATTTATTTTGTTCAATGCCTTCAATATAGCATTGGTTCCATGTTTGTACTTGCAATGGTGCCTGAGATATTAGTAAAATGCACATTTAATGAGCTATATGACCATATATGGTCATTGAAAAATTTAGCCATTTTTCTTGTACAATGCCTTCAATATGGCATCATTTTCATATCTCTAACTTCAATAGTGATCGAGATATTATAGATATGCATATTTAATGAGTTCTATGACCATATATGGTCATTGAGCATTTAAGCTATTTCTCTGTCCAATGCCTTCAATATAGCATTGGTTCCATGTTTGTACTTGCAATAGTGCCTAAGATATTAGGTATATGCATATTTAATGAGTTCTATGATCATATATGGTCATTGAACGTTTTAGCTATTTCTCTTGTCCAATGTTCCTAATATAGCATTGGTTATATGTTTATACTTGCAATAGTGCCTAAGATATTAGGGATATGCATATTTAATGAGTTCCATGACCATATATGGTCATTGAACATATAAGCCTTTTTTTCTTGTCCAATGCCTTCAATATAGCATTGGTTCCATATTTGTACTTGCAACAGTGCCTAAGACATTAGGGATATACATATTTAATGAGTTTTATGACTACATATGGTCATTGAACATTTTAGCTATTTCTCTTGTCCAATGTCTCCAATATAGCATTGGTTCCATGTTTGTACTTGCAATAGTGTTTGAGAATTTGGAGACATACATATATGATAAATCTATGACCATATATGGTCAACGAATATTTTGGTCAATTTTCTTGTCCATTGCCTTCAATATAACGTTAGTTCCATGTTTGTACATGGAATAGTACTTGAGATATTAGAGACATGCATATTTAATGAGGTTACATGACCATATATGGTCATCTAATACGTTAGTTACATTTCTTATCCCATAGCTTCAATATTGCACTGGTTGCATGTACCTATCTGTAATAGTGCTTGAGATATTTAAAACAGAATGTACAGGGCCCTCCCCCTTTCCCATGATGCTTTGCAGGATACAATAAAAACAAATATGAAAAAACATTCTAAAATCATTTTCTAAAAAACGGCTCATCGCCTGGAGAAGCCGTTTGGAAAAATAAATACTATGGCACTTGATCTTTCAAACTCACGCAGGGTTAGTGGATTAGTCAAAATTATGTAAATGAGATGCAAAACAAAATTTCCGAAAATTCTAGCAAAAAAATGTCCTGTGGCCACCAAAGTTTTTTTTATTGAAATTTGTAGCCCTTGTCCCACTACTACTACCATAAAAACTGGAAGCACTCAGACCCTCAGAAAGGTGTGCAATTCGGCATTGAAAATTTCGCCTTTAATCCAAGATGGCGGCCGAATGACGTCACATATCAAAAATCGGAAATTATGACGTTTTAGAGAATTGCATATAGATTATGTCTGTCAGGTCAAGTGGGTAACCCGTCTTTGAGAAGAAGAGTTTTAAAAAACGGCAGAATAAGAATAATAATAGTAGTAAACATTACAATAACAATAGGCTTTCGATGCGGAAAAGCATCGAAAGACTAATTATGTTAAATGCGTTTTTGGCAATTTATTCCTATGTGGGATCTTATCAAAAGTTGATTAACGTACTATTACTGCAGTCATTCCCATCAAATCCTATTTGACATTCACATATATAGGTACCGACGCCATCATGACAAGTGCCATCATTCTGACATACACCAGGTGCACAGTCGTCGGGATCTGAAACGAGTTGCAATTGGTATGATGATGTTATAGCTCGATATCAATATCATGATTTCCGACTGACAAAATGTAATTCTCTGGTTACGCTGATTTATGCTAATAATACATAGCAACGAAGTAGTAGTCACGGTTACACGTTACTTTTTTCAATTAAGCTCTAAATTTTCAATTTGTGAGCTGCTTCTTGGTCGAGAATTATCGAATGGCTGTGATATATGTCATACATTGCACTTTCCCATGAACACTAAGACAATGGTTAAACGGAGTGAGAGAGTGTTGCCCAACATCCAATACTTGAAGTTTGCCTACCTATCTCACAGTTAGAACCTTCGTATCCAGTTGGACATTCGCACGTGTATTCGGCGCCCTCGCCAATACATTGTCCGCCATTTGTGCATGGATTTGGTTCGCACGGTCTTGGTATAGCTATAATTAAAAACGTTATATTTGTGACGGTTAAATGTTGTTTTCGCTTTGTCGCTCAGGATCGTTCGAATCTTCATCTTGTAAATTCTAGGTACATTCTCAAAGATAAAGCTAGTTCATTCTTATAACAACATACCACTCAATGGATTCATTCCTATGCCTATTGTAAGCAGATTTAGGAGCCAAAGCTTCCATCTCCTTTTATTCAACTACCCAGCAAAAATATATAACATGGTAATTGGACAATCTTTCACATAAACCACGTCCTCTAAAGTTACACGAGTAAATGATCCATCGTATTCTAAACATCAAACTTCTGTTGACCTTTTAATATCACATGATGTTATAGACAGAATTGTCAAATCAAGTGTTGGACGCGAATGGTATGTATCTATCAACGACGAACTCGAGAGGTCATATTCAGAATTCCATATGTCATGATTACATATAATAATGGCGGTCATTTGTGCGAACAGCTACACTCTTAGGTAATATTACTAGACCAGAATATCGTTTTAACTCGTTTTAATACGCGCCCATTGTAACCGGCGTTGTCAACATTATTCATGATTATCAAATTAATCCATCATATAACTAAGTATAATATATACATATACAGTGGTGGTCACCATAGTGTTAATTACGTTTTATATTGAACAAAAAACAGTCAGTTGTCACTGTAATTGCTTATAGTATCAACGTATCATGTGATAATGTCTCTCTGCTAAAACACTCTCTTCTCAGAATTTAAACATAAATGGTTAACACGATTAAGAGTGAGGTTCATCCATGAAATCGGTGGTGACATTTTGATCTGTGGGTTTCTGTTATGTATTTATAGTGCCCCTATAATGCGTCGTTGCGGCGCATAGCGGCTTTAATCCTTCGAGGCATCATAAAGTTCCGTCTATTCGCCGTTTTACCCTAGCAAGATTTTGTGCAGCGAGTGATCCCGCTTTGGCAATTCGCCAATTCGTCATTTTGTTTTTATGCCCGATGTCAACGTCTGATTGGTCGCACGTATTACGGGGGCTTCTAAGCAATGAGTATATGTTTGCATTGTATTACTACAATGTCTTACTTACATCCCCA